TTCTCAAAGGAAACTTTGCAGGCTGGAGGGGACTGGCAAGAAATATTCAAAGTCATCGAAAGCTGGTACCTACAACCAAGATTGCTCTACCCAGCAAAGACATCATTTAGAATCAAAGGGCAGATAAAAAGCTTCCCAGAGAAGAAAAAACTACCGGAGTTCATCATCACCAAATCATTATTCTATGAAATGTTAAAGGGACTTATTTAAGAAAATGAAGATCAAAACTATGAACAATAAAACGGCAATAAATACATATCTATCAACAACTGAATCTAAAAAACAAACTAAGCAAACAAGAACAGAGAATCATGGATACAGAGAGCATTTTGATGGTTGCCAGATGGGAGGGGGTGTGGGGGAATGGGCAAAGGTGTGAGGGGATTAAGAAGTACAAATAGGTAGTCACAGAATAGCCATGGGGATGTAAAGTACGGTAGAGGAGATGAAGTAGTCAAAGAACCTATGCGTGCCCCACCAACATGAACAATGGTGTGGAGACTGCCTGAGGGAATGGGAAATGCTGGATGGAGGGTGGCAAAGGAGGAAAAACTGGGACAACTGGAATAGCATAATCCATAAATTATATTCTTTTAAAAATTAAAAAAAAATAAAAAATAAAAACTGGCCTAACTAAGCAATACAATTTTTTTTTACTTTTTAAATAATATTTTATTTATTTATTTTTAGACAAAGGGGAAGGGAGGGAGAAAAAGAGGGAGAGAAACATTGACGTGATGTGCAAGAAATATATTGATCGGTTGCCTCTTGCACGCCCCCAACTGGGGACCTGGCCTGCCACCCAGGGATGTGTCCTGGCTGGGAATCGAACCAGCGATTTTTCAGTTCGCAGGCCAGCACCCAATCCACTGAGTCACACCAGCCAGGGTGTAAGCAATATACTTTATATAGCTATGGTTAAAGAACATATTACAGTGGCAATTAGAAAATATTTTAAAGTTAAGGAAAATAAAAGTATGACATATTTGAACTTGGGAATTCACCCAATGCAGTATTAAGGAGAAATTCAGAGTTTTAAATGCATATGTTAGAGAAATAAGTATTGAAGTCAATGACCTAGCTATCAAAAGCCTTGAAAAGTAATAGCAACTTAAACTCATGAAAGTAGAAGAAATGAAGAAAAGAGTAGTTAATGAAACTTAAAACAAATACACAATGAAGAAAAACCAACAAAATCAAAAGTTGATTCTGTGCAGATTATGACATTGATATACCTCTAACAACACTGATCAAGAAAAGAGAGAAAAAGAAAAATTACCAATATCTCAAATGAAAGAGAGCACATCATTCCAAATTCTATAGACTTTATAAACAATAAGATAATATTAAAAATGACTTTATAGAAATATATTTTATAATTTAGATGAAATAAACAGAGTCCTGGAAAAACACAACTCATCAAATTAACACAAGAAGAAATAGAAAGTGTGAAGAGTACTTGAGCCATTACAGAAACTGGGTCTATAATACACATGCTAGAAAACAGAGGGAACCTGGAACGGGTAGTGTAAGAAGAAAGTTGCAACTATTAAGTATGGTCTCGTGACCAAACTAAAAAAGCAAAGAATGTAGCAGCTATGCACATATTTCTCCTTTCCTTATGTATACACATACCAATTTATTTGTCTCTTCTTCTTCTGCAATTACTATTTGATATAAGAATTAATGCTACAATTTACTCAGTTTATACAACGTACATACACTCATACAATTATTCTTTGGATGTTTGTGGTTTCTTCATAAGTTTAATGCCCTCTGTCAAATTTTAAAGTTTTCAGCCATTATTTTTCCAAATATTTTTCCGGCCCCGTATTCTCTCTTTTTTTCCTCCTTCTAGAACTCTGATGACATGGGTGTCATATCTTTTTGTGAGTGTTCCACAGGTCTCTGTTCACTTTCTAAAATCTATTCTCCCTCTGTTGTTAAGACTAATTCCTACTGACTTGTCCTCAAGTTCACCAAGTCCTTCCTGCTATTTCCATTCACCTACTGAGCCCATCCAGTAAACTTTAAATTTAGGTTATTTAAATTTCAGTTCTGAAATTTCTATTTGGTTCTTTTTTATATCTTCTATTTCTTTGCCAAGACGTTCTATTTTTTCATTTGTTTCAGTAGGTTCATAATTGTTTATTAGAGGTTATTTTTATGCTGGCAGTTTTAAAATCCTTGTCAAATAATTCCAACACATGTGGCATCTATTGATTATCTTTCCTCATTACAGTTGCAATTTTCCTGGTTCTTGGTAGGATGAATAATTCTGGACTATATCCTCAACATTCTGAGTATTACTATGAGAGGTTGCTTCCCTTTAAATGTTCTATTTCAGTCAGGAGTTCAGGTTCAGGGTGCGTGTCCTGGCCCGCTTTGCGGGCTGTGGATTGAATAGTTTAGTTTTAGAGTGCTGCTCCAGTCCACCCAACTTGTATGCTGTGTTACCCAGAGGTTAATTGGAAACCTGGGTATTATTCTACACCACAGTTTATTTCTCAAAGGTTTTTCTGTGTTGACTCTAGTCAGTAATATGCATGGGCTGTTTTGAGGGGGAGGGGAGGCAGGTAGGAGAGAGTGTGCCTAGGACTTCATACACAGGCTTAAGAAATTCCCTTTACAGCTTCCTCCTTTCCATACTTTTCCCTCCACTCTCCAGTTGGGAAGGGATGAGGTGCTGCCTCTCTGCTGTCTTCTGCTTGGGGCAGGCTGGGGACAATGGACAGGATTCTTCCCAGCAGCCTCCCAGGCTGCCTTTTTGCTGACATTCAGTTAACACAGGGCCTGGACAGTCAACCAGGTTCCACCCCACGGTCCCCACACTGGACAGGGGTCAGGGAAAGAGGGCCATCTCTGCTCCTGTCTCCTGTTAGTGCAGGGCGGGGATGGTCACAGGACCCCGCATGACAACCTGCCGCAGTCACGGCATCTAGTTGGCAGGGCATGTATGGCTTCTTCCATGTGTGTGCCTGGTGTGGAGCAGGTGGAGTGAAAAGGGGTCCAGCTGCAGGGCTACTCTCTTCTCTTTGGCGTGTGTGTGTGTGTGTGTGTGTGTGTGTGTGTGTTTGCTTTTATCTGTGCTTATAGATGAATGTTATGTTATGATTTTCGCTAACACTAAGGCTGGGCAGTGAAGGGAAGGAAGGAGGAAGCGAGTGTGGGAAGGAGGGAAAAAGCCCAAGGGAAGTTGTTGGCGTGTCCCTCAAGTCCCGAGGCTCCCAGCTTGTCTGTCTTCTTTCTTCAGGAACCGGGTGAAATGCCCTTACCTGATGTCGTCCGGAATTGAAAGTCCACAACTTATTCATTAAGTGACAGAGCATTCAAGTAGAATTGTGACTAAATTAAAGAAAGAATGAATAATTACCCCGGGATTGATACAACGACTATGGAGACTTTATGTCTCCCCGCTTTGGGGGAGGGAATGAGAGGTCTCTATATGCATTAAGAATAGTTGCACCTTCTTAGTGAAATGATAAAGTTGTCATTACTGCAGCATGGAAGTTCAAATCTGAGTAGAAGGGTGGCCCGCGCTAATTTTTATGCTCCTGTCCCGCAGGCTGCCCCACTCTGCGATGCTGGGGCTGAGACGCTGCAAGAAGAGGTAGCACTCCGTCCATCTTGACCAAAACATTCTGAATATTCCTTTTTTCCCCATAAAAATAGATGCATGGGTATAGTTTGAAATCATTATTGGCAATGAAGAGAGAAAACCTGGCAGAAAAAAATTGGTCTTTTTGCCATTGGCTGGCTAGATAAGTCGATAATTTGTCTTTAAAAAATGGGAATAAGAGTGGACTAAAAATCATCCAACAGCCTAAATGTGATGATGTAAAAGCATCTCTATGAATGAAAATAAATCCAAAAAGATGAATGTATGTTTGATTAACTACTCTCACATCTTTCACTGGCCAGTAACTACCTTGACCGGGGTATCACACACCCGCCTATTCTGCGACAATTTCTTCCACACCCAAATGGAGCTATATACGTATAAATTACAAAACAACCAGACAACTGAGAAAACTTGAACTTTTTAGTTCTTGGTGGTGGCAGTGACAGGAGGATTCCTATTTCCACCCCTTAAAATCCGTTTTTAATTTAAAGGTTAGAAAATAAGTTTCTATAATAAATACTTGCACCAAATATGGATTCCCTTAATAAAGCTTCATGATTTCTTAGAACTGCAAATTCAACAAATCCCGAGTCCATAAAAGGAGACGGTTACCTCCCTCCCAAAGGCAGGACGGCCCGCGGGGATGAATCTCGCCACGTCCCCCGGGCCAGCTGTAGCCCGTCGACGGACACGCTCCGTTCTGCTCAGGTCTGACACCGCCGTTACACCCCTGCAGCCTCGGCCGCTCGGGTCGCCACCGTGCAGCTCACGTCCACCCTCCCTGACAGGGCTCATCAATTCCTATTGCTTTTCACCAGGCCCCGGCTCTGGCACTTTCCCCGGGGGAGACCTTTACTGGTCTCCATACTTAACCCTTGAACCCTGCCCAATCCATCAGCCGCATCGAATGAACGGTGATAGAGAATGTTTCTCCCTACAGACAGGCAGCCAGCCTCCCCACTTAAAACTCAGAAAGAAAGCCATCAACAGGGTCTGCTTTCTGTTTGTCAGTGTCGCCGGCTTCTTCGCTTATTGATGTTTTTATTGTGGCGGTGCCCAAGCTGCTTGAGCCAGGAGAAGCACTACTCAAAAGGAGACATCGATTAAGTGCTTGTTAAATGCCGTAGCTGCTCTTTTGAAAATGGCCCCTGGGACTCTCCCTGGGCGTTTCTAAAACTAGTGGAGGCTTCAGTGGTCATTTTGGAATAGGGTTTCCCCAAAGTTTTAAAGAACAGCTTCATACCCGCCCTCCTTAGACTCTACTAGAACTTAAAAATTATGACTTTAGAGAATGAAAGACTTCCCTTTATTAGGAAAAACAAGGAATAACGGGCAGTAAATAGCAAATACGTAAATATACTCTTTAAAGCCTCCTCACCTCATAACCAAACTGCAGCTCATCGGAAGTCAGCATGATGATATCATCGTCAATAGCCAGGACGGCCTCGGTCTCAATTTCATCGTAAGGGAAGAAACGGTTACTCAGCTTGTTTTCAGCTGTCCTTACAACTTTTAATGGAACCCGGATTTTGGGCCACAGAGACTCTGGAGAAAGAAAAAAGAAACAAGGTCTTTATTTTTAATAACGTGGTGAAATCATCATATTACAAATGAGTTAGATGAATCAATTAAATCCACACATATACATGTGCAAGGGCAAGTCTTACAAGTGCAGTTTTATAATGTTTTATATTATAAATTTGTCTCTCCTAAGTCCTTGTAACACTACTAATTCTCATTAATGTTTTAACTGGAATGCACAAATTGGCTTCCACTCACCACTGAGACAGGGAAGCAAAATGACTTGACCCAAGATCACAGTGATAAGAGAAATCAAGTCTGGACTGCCTCTTTCTCAGGCCCATGTTTTCTTTTGTTTTTAGTTTTTATAATTTTTTATTTATTGAGTTTGAGAGAGAGAGACACTGATTTGTTGTTCTACTTATGTATGCATTCATTGGCTGAGATTCTTTTAAGTACCCTGACCAGAGATTGAACCTGCAACCTTGGCATATTGGGGACAACGCTCTAACCAACGGAGCTTTCCAGCCAGGGCTCAGGCTCATGGTTTTGTCAGAATGCTGCCACCTCTGCGAAATACTTTCCGGTAGGTACACCCCAGTTCAAAACGTGCCTGAAGCCCTGCCAGGAAATACCACGCAGGTGCTGAAGATGACTGTCCCAGTGTGCCCATCTCCAAAATGCAATCACAGATGGCTATCGAGGCTGTGAAAATTGCCTCCCTCCCCAAACCGTTTCAGGGAATAGGTAGAGCTTCCTAAACTTAGCACTTTATCCCTTGACAGCCCCTCCCCCATGATTTACAGGCTTTGGTTTCTCATCATGTCCAATTTACAAAGTAAATATCAAATTTCTAGGTCCAATTATGTAGGATTTTCTAGTACAGTAAAGAAACACCAACCCATGACTTGCCTTACATTTTCCTTATTTTCCTCTCAAATGACTGAAGCAATCCAACCACAGGTTCTTTATTTTAAAATGCTGCATTTAGCATAGCATGAAATTAATACTTCTCTGCTACAGTACTCATGTCTGTATACCTCAGGGTCCTTTACAAAGGGCAGTCTGTTCTCCAGGCATTTGTCAAAAGAGAATAGGAAGGCTAGGTGTCACTCTGCTTCCAAAAAGTCCATCACATAATTGTGGGACAATCTAGTTTTTGTGGGTCTTGAAGCCCCCAAATATGTGCAGCCACTCCAGTCAGTACAATGAAGAGAAGGATGACAGAGGGAAAGTCCAAAGGGGAAAAGGCTGCCCCAACTGACCGCGGATAAAATACCTTACTTCTGTGTATGACACAGTCAGTGCGTGCACCCCATCGCCGGGGCACTCCCAGGGTCGTGGAAGAAGCCCAGGCAAGTGAAAGGCCCTGTCACGAAGGAAAATATTCCATCTTAAATAAGCACAAAGCCTAAAAAAGGGGTCAAGCCCAAAAGCGGCATGCTTGGGAAAGGACTGGACTGGAGACCCAAAATGAGATCCTACGGGCCACTGCCTTTTAATCAATAATGACAGTTCATCATAGTTTCATTCTTGGCTCAGAATTACATAATCAATAAATATCTTTGGGATAAATGGATTGCCATAGGACGAAGAGACTGGAGACCTGAGTTTTGCATTATCTGTGGGATTTTAGGCAAGTCCCTTCTTCTCCAGGTAAGGATAAGCACAAAGAGAGAAGGGGATCTTCATTAAGCACCTGGTATATACAACACTTCAGAAACACTATGTCATTCAAGACTCCTGACAACCCTATGCAGCAGAGATTGCTTACAAAGTAGTCTTTACAAGGCTCGTAGAGATTAAGTAACTTGGCGATGGTAACAGCGCTAATAAATGATAAGGCCAGTATTTGAATTTAAGTCTGTTTAGCATCAAAGACCAAATAAAACCTGTACTGTCTATTGCACCTTGAAAATCTCATGCTTCTCTAGATCTGGGGGGGAAAAAAAAGTTCAATAATTTTTCCCTAGCAATCATCCTTATTCTTGTTTGCTTCCCACTCACTCTTCCAAGTAAATAAAACTGCTGTCACAAATCTACTGTCCAAATCCTTACAGAACACAAATTAACTGTAATATTTAAAATAAAGACGGTTATAGTCCTACCTACTAGACCAGCAGTTCTCGAACTTCTGGGGGTCAGGATTTCTTTGCAGTCTTAAAAGCTGTTGAGAATCCCAACAACTTTTGTTTTTGTGAGAGAGACAGAGACAGAGACAGAGACAGAGACACACACACACACACACACACACACACACTCTCTCTCTCTCACACACACACACACACACACACACACTCTCTCTCTCTCTCTCTCTCTCTCTCTCACACACACACACACACACACACACATTTTATTCTATCAGAAATTAAAACTGAGGAGATTTTAAACCCAAGAATACACAAGCACACATTCCACGAGCCACGTCATCCCACGTCCTACAGCCTCTGGAAAACTCCACTGTCCACTTGTGAAAAAACAGCGATGGGAAAGGGCGCTGACCTAGCATTATTATGAAAATAATTTCAACCTCACAGACCCCCCTGGAAGGACCCCAGGGATGTCCAGGGGTCCCAGGACCACACTTGAGAACCTCTGTATTAGACTCTGTGTTCTGACTTGGGTTTCACAATACAGGGCAAGTACCCTCAAACTGGAAAAGAGCTGGGGAGGAGTTACGAGGAGAGTGCAGGCACTTGAAACCAGGATGTCTGCAGAACGCGCAGAGAGACGAAATGTGGCAGTCCCCAGTTTATTGCCTCTCAGCTTCAATTTCACCCTTCACTGCCCTGTCTGTGATACTGCCGCTGGACCCTGTGAACATTTGCCCTGTGCCAGCTGGCACCATGCTCAGCTTTGTCAGTAGAGGGTGCTGGAGGGACACTGCAGGAGGGACGGGGCTTTTCTTCCTGGGTCTGGCACGCCTTCGTTCCATCTTGCTCCTTCGGTCCTTGGCCAGCAGCCAGGCAGGCAATGGCATCGCTCTCCACAAGTTCAAGTGGCACCCCCAGGGGCAGTTTCCAGGCAGGTTCTGCAGACACCCCACGCGGCTTCCCTGTGAGCCCAATGGACACCCTCAAGAGCAACTCAGCTGAGGGTCTGCCGATAGGTGGTTCCAAGAGAGCTCCACGGAAGCCCTCACCTGTTTCCCAGCAAGTTCAGTAACAGCGCCTGGGCAGCTTCCTGTTGAATTCCATGGGTACCCAAGGAGGCGGCTAGTTTCTTGCTTGTCAGGAGTCCAGATCTGGCCTGTGGCACCTGAACAAAGTTTGCCATGCACTGGGTTACACGGTCTGAATCTCAGGCCTAGATAGAGAGGGGGTGCTCCCAAATTCATTTCCTATAATCTCTAAAGTTCTTTCTATCCCTTAGTCATCAATCTCGTTACTAGTTAATAATTCTTTACATCTCACTTTTCCTGCTCAAGTTACTATGTGGTTTCTGTCTCCTCCCTGGACCTCAACTACTACACTAGGGATATCAGAAAGGTTCTCTGATGAAAGGGGAATTGTACTCTATCATCTCTAAAGTTAAAACCTTGACCTACAGGTGGGTGAAAGTAACAGGAAAATTGATTTAGAATCAAAATAAGAATTTTCTGACGGTATAAACTCTCTTAAGATGGAATGAAATGCCTTCAGCAACACAATTTTACTTGAAATGTACTAACTTAGATCAGATTTCTACTCAACATCATATGAGAAACCGAACAAGGTGCCTCTAAGGTCCTGGGATGACACGAGGCAATGAGAGACCACAAAAGGAACACAGTCTGCGGAAACAGCTTCTAACCCGGCGGACCTGTTACTAGCCCTGTGATCTTGAACAAAATCACTTTGAACTTTTTTCTTCAACTAGGAAGATGGGATAATAACACCATCTTTCTATGAATGACTGAGAATGAACTTGAATGCATTTAGCTGCACAGTAGTACCTGGCACATCACAGACATCCACTAAATGTTAGCTGTGCTTTTCCTTCTAAGTTTGTGTCTATATAGAGAATCAAGGAATTTTTTTTGAACTTTAGGTATGGTGACGAGGTGGTACATATTAGATCTGGTATATTATCCTACAATCCAGTGGCGTGCCTCCAGTCTGTCTACTCCTTCTGTGTCTCCTTTTAGATCAACAGAATCCCTGCCATTCCTAGGTCTGAAAATCTAACACACTAATGAAACAAAAGAACATGGGATGTCTGCCACATTAGTTCTAAAAGGTAACGAATAGCTCCTCTTTTTGCAATATGTATAGAAAATAGGCTAGCTGCTTTGGTTAAGTGTAAACATTCCTCTACCCTGGATGGGATTTGAACTTCCATTTGGCAAGAGGGTATAGTGTGTTCAACCCAAAAACAGTTTTCCATAATCTTTGTCCACACACAAGCTTTGTCCGGAAAATGTCCGACCACTATTAATATAACAAGAACAGTTTGCACAACATCGATGTAACTTGGCAGCCAAGGAGAGTGGGCTGGAATGTGCATGCGTGAACAATGATGACTTCCCGGAACTAGTCAGAGGGGGCAGTAGATGCTGTTGAGTGAGCATGTGTGCTGTGTGAATATCACATTCAAAATGACTGAGAGAGTAGAGCAACGAATCTGCATCAAATTTTGCATTAAGCTTGAACATTCCTCCATGGAAACTATTCAGATAATTCCGAAGGCCACAGTTATGGGCAACTGGTGATTGGCAGCTTCATCACAACAACATGCCCACTTATGCATCACGTCTCATACAGAGTATTTTGGCAAAACCTCAAATCACCCAGGTGACTCAGTCCTCCTACAGCCCAAACTTGGCGCCCTTCTGGCTTTTCCCAAAACTAAAATCACCTTTGAAAGGGAAGAGATTTCAGACCATCAATGACATTCAGGAAAATATGTCAGGGCAGCTGATGGAGAAGGGGAGAACTGTGTGAGGTCCCCAGGGGCCTCCTTTGAAGGGGACTGAGGCGTCACTGTCCTACATACAATGTTTCTTGTAGCCTGTATCTTCTTCAATAAATGTCTCTATTTTTCATAGTACATGGCTGGATACCTTCTGGACAGACCTCGTATATCTAAAGAATTACTTACTTGAGACAACGTCATAAAGAATGAATTCGCTCCTGTAAAGTCTTTGATGGGGAAGTTTTAGAGAGTGATGAAGGCCAAAGAGGATGATATGGGGTGCAGAGGGAAATGCAGACTGAATCGTGACTCCTTTGGACATGTGATTACTTTTCCCTGTGCTGAGTTAGGTCTGGGGAGCCAAAAGTCAGCTTGGGCAAAAGGAGTCTCCATTTCAGTGGTGAGCTGCCTAGGAACCATCATTACCAAAAGGCAGGACACGAAACAGAATTCCCAGTTTCTTATTTTCACATCTTAAAATAACATACACCACCATTCCCTCAGGCCTTAGCATCCCTTCTGTGGAGGGAGGGCACGGGAAAGGGGGCGGCAGAGAGCAAGCACTGCAATTGCTCCCTGCCCTGAAGCTGGGAATTCTGATACGGGATTTTGATTCTGTTTATACAATCATGACAGAAGCACGAGGTAGGGAAGGAAAACATAGGTGATAAAGTTTTTTTCCCTCCTTTCCATTAGTGTTTCCATTAGTGAGTCTTTCTCTTTGAGTCCCTGACCAGGACCTAGTTCCTTCACATAATCCCAAACCAAAGAACTGCCAAGGCATGGTGATTTTCCCACTGCTCACTGACTCCACTATTTGCAGTGGTGTGATGCAGGCAAATCACTCAACTAATCTGAATTTCATTCTTGTAAAATGGGGATAATAACAGCTTTCTTGCAGCCTTGTCATAAGGACTAGAGATAATATATGTAAAGCACTTAGCACAGTTCCTATTCCTTGGGTATAAAAGGTATACAACACATGGTTGTAATAACATCGTATCATCATCTCCACAAATGGATTCTTGTAAAGTCTTATGAACTTCACTTTTCTACCGACAACCTACAGAGCTGTAGAGAGGAGAATATGGGGTGATCCCTTAAATGCAGATGGAAACAGTGTCATAGCCAGAAATATTCAGGCCCTAATTCCCTTGCTTAGCCCAGGAGAGGTCTCTTTCTTCTTGCTCCTTTAAATTCTAAGTGGAACGGCAGGCTCTTGTATTGTGTGTCTCATCATGACTCTGTAGCTGGCAAAATAGAAATGTCACCTTCCCTTCACACAACAAAGAAGTCTGAAAAATGGGATTTTCAAACACACTAAATTTATGAAAAACAAACAGCTGAGCCAGCTGACCCAATAACTTCACAGCTATGAATTTTATTCCAGCTCGAAGGAGAAAAAGAATGTGTATTAAAGACTTTTAAAATAGTGTGTGTTGATTAACGGTTTTCTCCACATTGGATGCCAAGAGAGAGGTGAGCAAAGAGAATTCTTCTCCAACTTGGCAGAGGTACCAGAAAATGTTCAGGCTGACTGAAGATGACCCCCTCCCATCCTGGCAATCACTGCCACAAACCACCACAGAGCCACAAAATCAATGAGGAGGTTATCTCTGTGTGAACCTTGAGCTCCCTTCAGAAGTGCTGGAGCTGCTTGGTGTGCGTCTGGTCCCCGTGGCCCTAAATCCCACAGTGGCACAACTGAGCTCGAAAGGAAGGTGGCCGCTGCTTCTACTTCCCTGTGGCCTCTTGTGGGCTGACCATCCCTATGGGCTCAGCCAATCCCATCCTGCCTACAAGGAACCATGAAAGTTGCAAGCTGAAGCTGGGGGCCCTTGAGATCAATTCAAATTTAAAACTGAAATCAGTTAAAAAAGAAGGCTGAGGTCAACGGATCTGAAATGGACAATGGAGCAGCTTCCTTCAGGTGAGGCCAGGGGCCAGCCAAATAGCTCCTGCATCCACCCAGGATAGAAACTGAAGAGTAGGGAGGAGGAAGGCAGTGGCTTGCCTTTTTTCTTGACAGGGCTCAAAACCAATGTGACGAAAGCTCACTGGAAATTTCTATTGCCTAGTCTAAGTATTTACTTAAACTTCAAACCAAGCAATTTAGACTTAAACATAACCAAAAAGAAAAAAAGTATCTGGTTGGATTGGGAAGTGAAGAAATAAAAAAAAAAGAGGGGGGCGGGTTCTGCCTACACAAATCCTTCCAGCAGCAGACACGGTAACCACAATATTTATTTTAGTAAATGTACAGAAAGTGAAAAACATCACTTTTGCCTCTAATATTTCAAAGCCTTGGACTTGCTTTTTAAAAAACATATATGTTACTAATGCTGTACATGAAAAATCAGATGCCTTTGCTGGCGTGAGAGCCAGAGCTGACAGCCCGATTTACCAACTGAACAAATACCCCACGGAAGATTAAACGCGGTCCGCGTTCGCCCAAACCACCACACTGCCGGAGCCAGGGCCCTGACCTAAAAACCACAGCTTCCAAAAAAGCTGGTCCGGTCTCTGAACGTGCCACAATTAGGGCCTTATCAGTTGAGGGCTCTCTTTCCTCCCTGGAGCCAAAATATTTCAAAACTAAACTAAACTCTTGGTCACAAAATTAACCACTACATTTTAGTAGGGTCTACCAAAAATTAAAAATGAACATCCTGCTCCAAAACCTAGGTCTGTGCTGCTGCGTTTAGTCATGTCAATGAGGGGGCTTGGACCAAGAAGGGAGAAAAAGATCTGTCCTTCACAAAGCTTGCAATGATACTCGCCCAAGAGAAGAGCCTCAAATTCACAATAAATAATTCACCTTAAGCCCAAGGTGGCTAACCAGGCTTTATGAGGAGCAGCCCCTTTGCATTGAGCACCAGGCCATGCAGTTCTGCGCGGGCAGGGTGGGGCTGGGGGTGCTGCCAGAGGCCCTTTGAAAGCTGGTGGCCTTCGTGAGCAGGAGCAAATGCAGGAGAGTGAACGCAGCGTGACACGCGTGCTCTGCGGAGGCGAGGAGGGACGCACAGCCCTCTTTCTTAAAACAGGACCCGTCCTTTATAAATGAAGAGACAAACTAGCAGTGCAGGGCCACCCAGTCCCCTCCCCTTGGTGGAAAGGGGACGGGTGCTGATGAACCCAAGGCAGCTGTCTGAGGTCCTCCGCACACCCCCCTCCCAGCTCCTTTGTCTTCTCTACCTTCTCTTGCCTGCCGGCCTCTTCCTCCCTCCTTCTTAGGTGGCACAAACACCTTCCTTTTTCTTCTACCCCTTTCTTTCTCTTTTACTGAGCATCAAACATAAAAAGATAGTTAACAAAAAATGTTTTAAAAAGCAGTGTGCTTCAGGGCATAACACAGATCCTTCATTTGAACAGCTATTTTGTTTATGCAATTACTGTGGGCCCCTAAATCTAAAAAGAAAGTACATGATTCTTTTAGAGAACAAAAATTCCACTGAGTGAAAAATTTTACATATCTCAGGGAGAAATAAAGAATTTTCTTGAAGCAATTTCTGATTTGCCTAACAGACAGAAATACGGCTGTCTTCCAGCCCAGACTATAGATCTACTGGTAGTTTCCAGGGTTGACGATCCCGACTTCGGCATAACCAATTAAAAGGGAATAGCCATAAAAAGCGCAGATACTACTGTCAGGCAATAAACTAGACCTTATCGGTGATAGTGGTGCGCATTACAAACTTCAAACTCATTCCTCGCTCTAACCCATCAGAAACTTCCTGGCTTTAATAGGCTATAAAGGGCAGGAGCTTTGAAGTCCCTGGGATTAGGATCAGTAATAGACGGACTGAATGAGAAACTAAATGCAGGTGGGACAGACCCTAAGCGTTCTGAATCAAAAACAAATCCAATTAATCAAAGAGTCCTCAGGCCTAGCTGCCAGCCAGCAGATTGCAAGGGTGGCCGAGGCGAGGAACAAAGTGATTCTGAATGAACCGATGGGAACCTCTAGCGAGAGCTCACTCGTGAAACTGATTCCCCGTCTGCGAGGGCACGCTTTGCTGGCTTTCCTGAGCAGAGGTGAAGCCATCCTTTTTATTGAAGAAGAGCACAGTATCAGAGCCTAGATAAGGGAGGAGAAAACTAATGCCTTTCAAACTGAGTTTTCATGTAAACAAATCAGTTGGGAGGGATTTAGGGAAGCTGAGATCTGTTTTCCCAAGGCTGATGGCCTTTGATCCTGCAGATTCCTAAGCCCTTAGACACTTGTGGCTACAGAACAAGCCATGGGCTTGGAGTTAAATGGGCCACCCTAGAACAAGAGTGATATGATTGATAAAATCAGAGTCATGCTGCCTCGGAAATGGCATTACTGCTGAGAAAGCAGGAAAATTCATTTAAAATAAAGGATGCAAATAACTTGGCTAGCATAATAGATCCAGCCAAGAGTTACCCTATCAGCCAAACCAGTCCTTTCCTGAACACACCATTTCCCCACTTTTCTTACCTTCTGGAGGGCTTTTATTCTGATTATTCCAGACAACCAGGAGCTTGGATAGACTGGGCACCTTGGACACTTCAGTGATGACCCGGAAGAGACTCTCCACTCGGTCGTAGGTGAGAACGATGGCAGTAAAACCTTGAGACTGTGGTGGGATCAGCGGCAGGAAGAGTGGGTTGCTCACACTACTCCACTTCTGCAAGAGAACAGAAAAATGTGGTTCAGAGAAGGATCTAATAGCAATAGGGCTGATCTCTTTCCCAGGATCATCAATATACCCAAACGCGGAAGGACTAATGGCTTTCGCCATGGCCAATCCAAGAGCTCAGCAACTGTTCAAAGTCTTCCCTTCCTCAAAATTCATATTGACTTTCTGTAATTTAGTTTGGCTCTAATACCATTAAAAACAGAGCGGAGAATTTTTGCAGGTGAGGAGAGATGTTAAACATGGCAGATTAAACCCATTCATTTATCTCTATTCCCTTCCCAAACCCACTAAAATGACAGTTAATAAATATAACATACAAATCTGCAATGACAATGAAATGGGAGAAGGGAAAGGAGCTGATGAGCAATATTAACATTCTTCTGAAAGAGGCCAGAAAAGTGGGAACTGAGTAGGAGAGTGAGAGCTGAAACCTAAGTACCTACAAAGGGGCAAGGGCAACAAGGTTCAAGGTCAAACTGTTGAACCCCACAAAGGCTCAGGAATTAAGCTCAGCGGGGACCTGGTGAGGGTAAGAGAAGGGGTAGGGTTGCAAATGGGAGGACTGGTGAAAAACACGCTTAAGGAGCACTGAGAGGCCCTGATTCACAGCCCTTCCCTTCACCCACCCACTCAGCCAGAACACGTCTCTTCTCCTCACCCCCGCTGGACACGGGAGGTTTATTCTCTGAGGAAACTGAAGCTCCAGGCATGGAAACACAGGCACAGCTGAGAGGAAACTGCAGGTTAAAATCAATATTCTGAATGACGAGCACCACAGCGCTCATCCCGCGGCAGTCCCCAAAACGCCGGCAGCCTGTGGCAGGGGTGCCACGCCATCATTTTACGCAGAAGCCTCCCAGGCGGTAAGCGTGCCCTCACACAAAGAGCTGCTGATCAAGTTTTTAGTGCTTCACCCTCAATCATGAACAGATCCTAGAGTCACAGACAATTCAAGAATATCTTTCCCGAGAATAACAGAAACCAAAGGAACAAATAGAAAAACAGGAACTCAGAAGAAACAGAGACAATAGAAGTAGAACGAAATTGAAAACATCAACAAATTATATCCTAGAGATAGAAGATTTTTCATCCATGCAATAATAAATTGCTATTTTTATTTAAAAAGTTCTATAAAGAACAGGAAAGAACTCTTAGACATTAAAATTCGATTGTTTAAAATTATGCAAAAGGCAGGATTGAAAGATACAGTAACATATTCCAGTCTGGTGAACAAAGAGACAGATGAAAAACAGAGAAAGGATGAGAAGTATGGTATGTAAATTATATATCAATAAAGTTGTAAACTAAAAAAACACACACAAAAAGAAAAAAAAGATGAGAAAAATCTAGGAGGTCCAACATCCATCTAACAGGAGATTTCCTAAAAAAAAGCAAACAAACCACAGAACATGGAAAAAACAAAACTACCAAAGAAATTAAACAAGTTCTCAAAACAAAAGACATCAGAGACGTGAATTCTCAGACTGACAGGGCTCAATAAGTAATGAGTACAATGTTTTTTTAAAAAAGGACAAAAACCAAAACAAAACGATGAAACAAAAACCACAGCCTTATCAAAGCACATCACTTCTGAGTCCTGGGAATAAAGTGTGAATAAATGAAATGCATACATCTAGGTGATGAGCATGTGCGTTTACTGTACAATTCTTGTACTTACAGCTCTGTAAGCTTGAAATTTTTTCAAAAACAAGTTTAAAAAGTTATGGAGATTAAATTTCTTTGCTACCATTAAAATGTTAAGTAATTTTTAATGCAGCAACATAAGCAAAAGTATTTTTGTATTAATAATAGGAAAAGATTGCTAAAAACATTCTTATATTTTAAAACAGCTTTATTGACATAATTCATAGACTATACTATCCACTCATTTAAAGTATATACGGTAATGGTTTTTAGTATATTATATATAGTCTTTTAAAACTGTGGTGAAATACAACATGAACTTCCCTTTTGTAACCATTTTTAAGTACAACTTGGTGGCATTAATTACATTCACATTCGTATGTTGTTATGTGAAAAGCCCAGGATCTAACTTCATCTCTGCGAGAAGGTGGCTGAATATGAAATGTCCTATCTGTTATTCTGGCTGCTTACACTTCCCTAGTGTCTTTCATAATCTGGGTTTCCCAAAGTTCCTCATCAGCCTCATCCATATCACTGATGGACACCCATCACCACGTATATGACAACAGCTGTTTGCCAGATGTAACAGTGTGGGACAGGAAATGTACACAAACACATGGAATACACATGGGATGGGAACTCTAGGAGTCTGAATGGTTTTCCTGGAGTCCTAATGTAATCAGGATATTGAAGCCAAAATGCCCACAACAGACCAGAATGAGACTTCATACCAGAGAGACAGAATAGAAAAAGCTATCTTCTTAATGCTGGCATTCTGTTACCATGGCATCGTGCTTTGACATTAAGTTGTAGTCTTAGGAAGGTGCCTGAGTTTTAGCGTTTGTGCCCAGCTTCTGGTTGCATTTGTAGGAACCCCTTTTAGTTTTCTTCCCCAAACCTTATCCTTCCTACCTTCCTGGCCTTTCTGTGGAAACTGAAGTCAGTAGGCAGCTCTGGGCTTAACTCCCAGTTAATCCCCAAGGTTCACCCTCTGCCATCCCAACCCACTCATCTACTCCTCCAGACACAATACTCTTCGCTGCCTTAAAAAACACCATTTAAAAGGCAAAGAACACAGAAGATTTTTTAGAAGAACCGTGTAAAATAATTTAATGTGTGATGCTCACACAGTCAAGATTTCCCGAGCGTGCACATACCGAGCATAAGGCACTATGCTTTACATGTATTATCTCATACGAGCCTTACAACAGCCCCCAAGAGAGATAGTCATTATTCTCGTTTTATAGATGATGAAACTATAGAATTAGAAATAGCGAACGATGCCTAATCATTTGTTTTACCAGCAGATGGAAGGAAGGTAAGAAGGAAGGGAGGGAGGGAGGGAAGCCCCGGAATGATGTTGGAGGCTACATGACCTGTAAGTGACAGGTGCTGGCAGGAGCCCAAGCACCTGACTCCGGAACAGCAGATGGTGGTGGTTCACGGCCCTTCCCCAAGGCCTCCTACTCTGAGTCCGGGTAAAGCATCCCCATTTTAGACTTTGGAAACTGGAACTGTGGGTGGCTCCAGAGTTCATTATTTCTAGCTCTTCTCCGAGACAAAAATGATAAAAGTTCTTTATCCTTGATAACTAAATCTGCGCCAGTGAGCAAGAGCCCACCCCACAACTATGATATCAGAGGGTACATGGAATAAAAACACACCACCTATGTAACACTGACACAGAAGGAGCATAGAAATTTTAAAAAGGTAAATACACCCCTGACACGGAAGGTAAGTGTATTTTACCACCAACAAAACGAGGTCTGTTCTTTGGGAGAAGCAGCGAATACTCACACACTTGAATGCCTTTGTGACATTAAGAGGAGAAGGAACTTCCGTGAGAGGCAGAAAAGCCTGGTTTCGGGGGGCGAGGCGGGGAACCCCTTGGGGTTTACAGTGAAGCAGCCCCTGAAAGGCACCACAGCTCCGATCTCAAGGCCCTGCCAGGCAGAAGGAGCCAGAGTCTTTGGCAAAACGTGGGATCTGGTCTCATCCCTCTTGCCAGCTCCCTTCGGAAAGAGGACAGAGGACGGTTCTGAGGTGGGCGGAGAGGAAGGACGGGTGGGTGGGAAGCAGACGGTTACGCGCCTTGGTGTTTCATTTTTCCACACTACTCACTTGCATACTAAATAGGGCTTGAAAACTGGAGGAGCAGAGTAAGACCACAGATTGAGGAGACAGAGCATGGCAAGGACTGAAATCTTGTCAACACTTTCTCCTAAAATACAGACATTGAGATGAACATGGAGGCGACACATTAGCTACTGAGCATGTATTTACTAGGATACAGGCTCCAGGCTTTCCTGCGGACAGGCCCCAGGGTTGATGCAAATGACTTCAAAAAGTGAGTCGGCCTGTTTAATCAGTTTGGGAATCAGGAGGCCTTCATTTGAACCCAGGTTCTTTCACTTAAACCAGCAACATGACCTGGGCAATGCACCTCAACTCTCTTGCACGTCGGTTTCCAAATCTATAAAATCGTGATACTACCAGTTTCTAGACGGTATGACTTCACATTATAATAATTAATTACTATTTAACTACTCAGAGGTTGTTAATAAAAGTAAGCAGGTATATACGTAAAGCACCTGACACGTACAAGCACTCGATAACTCATAGCCAGGAGCCAACCTTGTCGGGGTGACAATTTCCCTGGGCGTGACTCGCCCGCATGTCTCCACAGCGGGGCGGGCAGCGGCCTGCGCAACCATGAGGTCTCTTCCAGCACCACGAGTTCTAAAGGAAGTCTTTTGTGGCCTTTATGTTATAACGCTTTGGGGTCCTGGTTTACCTGGCTTCTCTCCTTCCCCTACTTTTCTGTATATACTGTTTTTATTTACAGTTTTCTCTCTTCCTTCCTATGCTTTTTATATTCACTACCTTGAAAGCTCCTTGAGAGCAGGAGCCACAAATACTGTAACATGCGGTACCGAGCACAGTGCCTCGTGCTACTCAGTCAAGTCTGGTTTAAGTCCAACCCAGATTGTCCAGGTCCCTGTTCCTTCGGTCCTCGTCGTCCACAGACGTGAACAGCTGGTGGACACAAGTGAGCGACCTCATGAACTCTGAAATGATCTCCAACTCAGTGCATTCATTTTATAGTACTTACCAAGACTTTTATTGTGCTAAGAATTCTGAAGAAGTGTAGGGTTAGGTTATTTAACAGAGCTCGAACCTCCTGCCGTTTGCTAGTTCTGTGATGTGCAGAGCTACTTCTCTGAGTATCCATTTCTTCCTCAATAAAATGGGAAGCATGATAGTGCTTCCCATTAAATTTACCTCCTAGGGCGAGGATGATTCAATGAGATTACGCACAAGTGCACTCAGAGGGTTCAACATGG